TAGTGTTGGTGTGGCCTACTATGATTCCTTAGGACTATGAGAGTCGTTATTAGGAAGGCATTAGGGCGTAACTTTAGGGGTAGTGGGTGAGTGTGCATCACCAAAAGACCTTTCAAAAGACACATAAAAGCATATGCATACGTGAGAGAGACAAAGAGAAGAAAGGACGTTGAAGGAACCAAAGCTACTCATTTTTTAGTGAAGCTTGCACATTGGCCGGTGCTCCTCAGGGGATCAACACTTTCCAATATACTCTTTATATTTCAAACTTTAGGGATTATATTTCGTTTATCTAATATATTTATTTTTATCACGTCCAATAATATTATATTGTTTAGAAGTTAAGGTTAAATTAAGGTTTAATCTCATCAGAAGTCTCTATTTTTTTTTCTTCTGAAATCTTAAATAGGTCCCTTTTCTTTTTGGCGTATCAATTGAGTCCCTATTATTGTAAATTTGATTCAATTAGAGATCTGTCGTCAAATTCACTAAACGGTCGTTTAATATTTGGTGACGTAGCATCCTCAGTTGAATGAATAATGACATGTGGCATTAAAATTGAATTATTTAAAAAAAAAATTTATGAAGAAAGGTGATATCAGATTGTAGGAAGGGCAAAGCTGAAAAAATTAAAAATTTTAAGGGCTGCCTTTTTAATTGATATGCAACTGAAACGAAAAAAAAATTGGGGATTCTTGTGATTAGGGTTCTTAGATGGTGGGGTTCTTCTTCTATCTATAAAGCAAAGGGAGAAGAAATTACAGATTATTCATCGTTCCAGAACCGTAATCTTCAAACCTCTCATCGAAATGAGTTTTTTTTCTTCTGGGTTTTCAATTTTCTTTTCTGGGTCTTTTAGGAATTATGCGTTTATGCTCGAAATCGCTAGATCGTGTGTTGGGTTCTTATGATTAGGGTTCGTTTGAAGGGAAAAATCGCATTCTTTGTTCGATTTCAAGAGATCGATAATGAATTGCATAACCATGGTTCTTTCTTCGATTTCACACTTTATTTCTCTGAATCGTAGAAAAGGCGTTACCCGAACGACTCGATCGCGAGGTTTGAAGGGTTGGCAATCGAAGGGCGAATCGATTTCCACGTTATCCGCCATGAGGGAGCGCCAAAACCGAAGGAGGCAACAACACAAGGAGCAAGGATCAAACCCTGAACCTTCACTCCCCAGGTTTGATTTTTGTTCACTTTAATAAAACGAGAAATTGAACGGTGAGGAGAATGCAGAGACAATACGTGCCGGTTAAAACCCTAATGGAATTTTCAGAAAGCCCCAAATCTTCAGAATGCAGCAACAACTCACACTTTATTGTGATGACGACGATGACATATTTTATATAGATATGAACACTGTGTAAGAAGGTTTTCATGAAGACGGTGGTTGTGATTTTCTGGAGAAAGTTCCCGATGATTCTTCATCAAAAGATGTTTCACCTAGTGAATCTGGAACTCATGACTCATTTCAGATATAAATATCGAAGGTTATGTTGAAGACACCACTGGAGGAGTTTCTAGGCAACAGGAAAATGGTTCATGTACATCTTTTGAAACATCCATAATTTATGGATGCTGATAGATTTTTGCATGTTGCAACTTCACCTGATTCTACTATTGGTCAAGGTTCTCGTGGTTCCAGTGATTTCATTGATTACCATTGACTACCATGGATTTTCAACTTATCACCTACCCCATTTTCAAAGATGGATAAAGACAGACAACCCTTAAAATTTTTAATCTTTCCAGCTTTGCCCTTTCTACAATCTGATATCACCTCTTTCCATAAACTTTTTTTTAAATAATTCAATTTTAATGCCACATGTCATTATTCATTCAACTGAGGATGCTACGTCACCAAATATTAAATGACCGTTTAGTGAATTTGACGGCAGATCTCTAATTGAATCAAATTTACAATAATAGGGACCCAATTGATACGCCAAAAAGAAGAGAGACCTATTTAAGATTTCAGAAAAAAATAAGGACTTCTGATGAGATTAAACCTTAAATTAATTTAAACATTTTCTTCTTCTTTCATTTTCTTTTATTATGTTAAGAATAATATCTCAAATATATAATGATTGGATTATAATATACAAAAGTAATAAATTTTAATATAAAATTAAATATTTCTGGGTTGTTTAATATAATTTTGATGATAATGACATAAAACTTAAAAAATGTAAACAACATAATATCATAAAATCAATAAATATTACATTAATTTTACTTATAAATTATAGGCTTAATATTTATTTTTGTCCCTCGAACCAGGATGTTTGTTCAAAATGATATTATCTTTTACAAAAAGTTTAAAAATGTATGAATTTGTGTAAAAATAGTTCAAGTTAGCCTTTTTGCTTACATCATTAAAAAGTTAATGGTGTAGCTGCCTCGCTGGCAAAAACTTAATGAATTGTCCACTTTTTCATTTGAGTGGCATGCTTAGAAAAAATGACGTGTCAATTTTGAATTTAAAAAAAAAAGTTGATGAGGTGGAAATGTTATGACGCGAGCACATCAACAACCAGGAGGAAGAACCCCCAAATCGCGAAACCCACAACCAGAAAACAGAACGTAACTGCGACTTGTCTACATCAACCATCAAATTCTGTCAAACCAGAATCACGCTTTCATCGCAAGCCGCCACATCGCCAACCTCCAAGTTTGTCTCCATGGTGCAACCTCTTCCTCACCATCTTCGTTAACCTGTAGACGGAACCAAATCATAGATACCAACAAAGATCCTAGCACCAAATCAAAACCCAATCGAGACCAGCGTTCCTCCACGCGAAACAAAACCCTAATCGTGTCTCGCACCTACAGAAGAACATAACCTAGTCTCGTGCAGTTCGTCTCTTGCGCCACCATGTCATCGTAAGCTTTGATGCAGCCACCACAAGAGTTCATCCTGCCACTGTGAGCTTCAAGACACCAGATGCAGTGCCTCTACTAATTCGCAGAAATCCCTTCGCGGTGCAGGCAACCAACTTTTCCCTTTACAATTTTGAAACCCTAATTGGGATATAAAGGGGATGCCACATGTCAAACCTTCATTGGCACGTTCATCTTGATTCAACTACTTTTCTTGTAACCCTATGTCAAAATATTTCCACCTCATCAACTTTTTTTTTAAATTCAAAATTGACAATTCATTTTTCCTCAACATGCCATGCAAATGAAGAAGTGGACAACTCATTAAGTTTTGGCTAGCAAGACAGTTGCACAATTAACTTTTTAACGTCGTAAACAAAAATGATTAACTTGAACCGTTTTTAATAAATTAGGACATTTTTAAACTTTTTTTAAAAGATAGGTCAACTTTGAACATGTTAGAAGTGAACTTTAAGCCTAACTCAACCCCACAAAACCGGCTTGTAGGGTGAGGTTTGCACCCACTTACAAAGTATGAATTGGCCTTATCTCTAATAGATATGAGACTTCTAACACACCCCCTCACGCCGATGTATATACATCTCGAGCGTGGGATTAGACATTTTTAATGGGTGGTCCGATAGCGGCCCAATAGCGAGTGGAACAATATGTCCAACAAACAACAAATATCACTAGGATAGGCTCTAACTTGGCTCTGATACCATACGAAAAGGTTTAAAGAATAATTCTGATGATTATTTCAAAAAGTAGAGTACCATATATATACACAAGGATTCTATAATCCTTCATCTATTAAAGGAATAACAGGTGCACAAATATGCACAAATTATAATAATATCTAAATTATAACTAACACAATATTTGATTGTCTAATATCCGTTAATAGAATATTTGACATATCTTAACAAAAACGTCCTGAAGGGACAAAAGTAGTTATTAAGCCTAAATTAAAATACAATATTATTTTCATTTAAGGTGAAATCTCTAACATTCATTTCTTTTAGTTGTAAAAAAAAATTATTATATGATAAATTGCATCAAGTCTCTTTGAAATTGTGATAATTTATTATTTGTGAACAAATAATTCTAAATTAATTTTTACTATCCGTAAAACGTTATCCATGTAGAAATTATTAAGTCTCAATGATTTTGTATGAAAAAAACGTCATAAGCACAATACAATGTAAACAAAATTCCACAAAAGCAAGCAAATAATAAGATTTTCTTAAAAGAAAATTTAATTCACTTTTCAAACGTTTTTTTATCATGTTTAATTGATATATCAATAAATAAGTGATAAAATATTTTTGTAGTAAAAAGGAGTATATTTATATAAGTAAAAGAGTTATATAAGAATTGGGTGAACAGGATTGTAGAGAGAGAAAGGGTGACAGAGGCACGTGAATGACCCACCACCACCACTCTTCCTACCATCTCTCGTGTCTTTGGTTGGCTTCATGTCAACGCTAACAGCCAAACAACTCAACCCAAGCAATAAAAACCCTACATTTCCCACTAACTTCACCCACAAAGTAAGAAAACAAAAAAACCCCCCAAACAAAAAAAAAATAAAGGTTAACAAGTTAACATCATTAACTCTTTTGACAAAAGTGTATCCTTTTTCTCCCTTTGCCATTCTCCCACTAATCCTCATTTTTCCTCCCACTATCTTTCAACTCTCAATATTTGCAATTGCATCAACTATATTTATTTATATTTTTAATTTTTAAACTTTGAAGTAAAATTAAAAAAATTTCAATTGTAAATTTATAAACATTAAAAATAAATAAATATGATTTTCCTAATTCAAATATTATTACTTTTTTTTATGCATTGACCTAAAAAAATATTAATTTTAAGTCAAAATTTAGAATTAAAAACATTTAAATTTTTGTTCTATCCCATTCAAGATTTCAAATACCCATAAATCTAATTTCTTAAAACTCACAAACATGACTTCATTCCAACCCAACATTACATTCTTAATGAATTAGGATAATTTTCTTTAATACCATATTTTTGTACAATTTCTGATGATCATTCAAAACCAACCACTCTATAATTTATATGACTAATTTATAACCTTCCTATATGGTAACACTATATGTTGATCCTTAGATTCGAATGCTAGTGGTTTCCCTTACCCATTTGCAAATAGGGTGATGATGATGTTGTGGGATAAAAATAAAAATAAAAAGTTGTAGACTTTTAGTAGATGGGAGTGAAACAGCAAGGGATGATGGAGGAGGAGAAAGAAGAAACAACCAACCACAACCTAGAACAAAACAAAAACCAAAACCTTAACCTAGACCACAACAACCATCCTTCTAACACTCTCCCAATCAAGGAAGAGAGTGGTTTTAGATCAAAGGGTTTTGGAAGTGGTGACAGAGTGAAGAGAGATGAATGGAGTGAAGGAGCAGTGTCAACCCTTCTTGAAGCCTATGAAGCCAAATGGGTGCTCAGAAACAGAGCCAAACTCAAGGGCCATGACTGGGAGGACGTGGCTCGACACGTGTCAGCACGTGCCAACTGCACCAAGTCACCCAAAACCTCCACACAGTGCAAGAACAAGGTGGAGTCCATGAAGAAGAGGTACAGATCAGAGTCGGCAACTGCAGAACATCCCTCCTCCTGGCCTCTCTATTCGCGCCTCGATCTTCTTCTCAGGGGAACTGGCCCTCTCCTCTCTTCGCCACCGCCACCGCCGCTCGCGGTGCCACCCTCGTCGGCAGAACCGCCGCAACAGTCGCCGCCGTCAGAGCCACTTGCAGTTGTGCAGAACTCGAATGGATCCAATGGGGTTGATGATAAGCTTGTCAAGGTAAATTTTCAACGCAGTTTTCTTTTGTTTTATTTTAAGGGATTGAACATATTGAATAAGATTGTGATCATACGTAATAGAGAAAAAAAAAAAGAATTTCGTTGTTTAAAAATTAGCTTGTGGTTTTGTTTAATTTTATTTGGATAAATTTCTCATGAACCAAGACAAAAAAAAAAAAAAAA